GCGGGCGCGCGCATCGCCCACCCCACCAGCCGTGCCCGCGCGCGGATTAAGGGACAATCAGGGGACCCGCGCGCCTCCATTGCGTCGCCAGATTTGGCCCCTGACGTCTTCTTCCTGCGGGTGAAACTGGAGGAGACTGGGGAGCTGTTCCGCGTGGCCAACTGCCGCAACGACATGACGGTGCGGGAGCTCAAAGAGGAGCTGGACCTGATGGTCGGCATCCCCTTCAACCTACAGCGGCTGCAGTTCCTGGACCAAGGTGGCCCCTGCCCAGTCCCTTCCCACACCCCACGAGCTCCTTCCACGCAAGGGCCCCGGCCCACTCCTGCCCTGGGTCCCCAAAATATATCTAACTACCAGAGGTCCCAAAATATATCTAACTACCAGAGGTCCCAAGGTGACCAAGTCAACTCCAACCACCTTGAACCCCATCTAGAAAGGCTCCTTGGAGCGCAGGCCACTCAACAGCCCCCAACTCCAAACACACAGGTATCTCATTAGACCCCAAATATAAAGGTGGACCTGATTCATAAACATTCTGTCTGTTGGCTTCAGTCGGCCAACCTTGAGCAAGTCCGGGCTACTCAGAACCTCAAATCTCAACAGCAAGACCCTCCTGGCAGCCCAGATCCTCTGCCTTCATAAGGAGCCCAAGCAAGCCACCACTTGAAGCAAAACTAGACCCCAACAGACCACCTCCCAGTCAAGGACAGGTCTTTCCCCTGTGAGAAACTGGGTCCCAAACCAACCCTAAGTAGTGAAACCCAAATTCTGTAGCCAGGAAGTCTGTGCAAGCATTCCAGAAGCTGAGACGAACCTTGCTGGTCTTAGAACCCCAATCTCAGAGCACATCGGCCCAAGATTGAACCCCAAATCTGCAAGCCAACAATAACTAGGTCAAAACCCTAAAACTCCATCAACTGTATCCACACAGGACTGCACAAACACAAAAGAAGCCAGCCAGTCCCAGGACCCTCAATACCCAGAGCAAGGTTGACCAAACTAAACTAAACTCCTGGGCTACACTCCCGGTCTCAAGATTACTAATTATCATGGCCTCGGAAACCCAAGTCCTCTACCCCTGATGGCCATTTAAGGAAGCTAAACATTAAATCCTACCCATGTCAGGGACCCCCCCACCCAAATGCAGAGCAAACATGACCAAATCTTCAGACTTACCATGACTGTTAGATGCCCCAGGCTTCCATCAACTGTATCTACATACAGATGCTACAACTCAGAAGAAATCTTCCCATCCTGGAACTCCCAAACCCAGAACAAAGTTCAATGTCCAAATCCAGCCCCCCCCGCCACATTAGCCACTAATATAGACACACACCCTCAACTCACACCAAGTATATATTCATTCAACGGTGCTAAAATTCAAAATAAAACCTGCCCATCATACAACATACCTATTTATCCAAGACTGAACCCCCAACTCTCCCAGGATAACTACTACTGTAGCCCCCCAAACTCTTACTGTGTGCATATAGAGATGCTAAAATTCAAAACAAACCTTGCCTATCCAGGGACCCTGAACCCAGAACAAACCCGAACCCCAAGTTTGAACCTCAGGTACCCAGGCTCGCCATCACTCTCTTAGAACCCCAACTACTCCAACAACTTATTTATATAAGAATGTCAAAATTAAACCAAATGCTTCCTTCCCACTCTGGTATCCCCAAATACAGAATATACCTACCCAAGACTGAACCCCAGGTCTCCAGACTAGCTCTCACTCCTTCAGAACCCCAGATCCTCCAGCAGCTGCATTTACACAAAGACACTGAAACTCAAAACCAACCCTACCCACTTTAGGATCCCCAAATCAAAACAAACCTGGTCAAATATGAGCCCCAAGTCCCCAGGCTAACCACATGACCCTCAGGACCTGGAATCCTCCATGGCTGTGTCCACACAAGGATATTGAAGACTGAGACAAACTCAGGGTCCCAAAATCTGTCCACACACTTCTGTGTTTGAACCTCAAATCCTCCAAAGCTGCCCCCGGCCACTCCAGCACCCTAAATCCCAGAGCAGACTCCACCCACATCACAAGTATCAACACCAAGCCTATGTAACCAATTCTGAGACACCCCTCCCCCCATGTCTCACCATTCGTCTGTGCATCCAAACCCCAGTCTTCATAAGGACCTTGCCCACATCTGGACCCCCAAACCCAAAGCTGATTCTGTCCACCTCTGAAAGGCTGTCCTCAAGCTGCGCATGACCACAGCAGGACCCCAGTCCAAGCTAAGTGTCTCCTAAGGGTTCTGCCTACAGCAGGACCCCCACACAGTGAAGCCAAACCTGCCTCTCTTCGATTTTCCACCCCCACCAACATGTGTTAGGAGCATTTCAAAGCTGATGCCAGCTGAGTGCCGGTGAGGAACCAAAGGTTCAAAGGAACCCTGACTCATGAGGACCCCAAAACTCAATACAGATACATCTTAGCCTAACCTACTCATATAAGAACCCCAAAGTTAGGGCAAACTCTGTCAGTAGCAGGACCCTAACTCTCAGGGGAGAGCTGTTTGATTCCTCACTCTCAGCTGCCTAAACCAGTCCATGAATGGACCCTAAGTCCTGCCACAGATTTCTCTTAAACCAGGACCCCTAACCAGCCAGCAAACCCTGCTGTCATGAGAACTCCAAGTCCAGAGTAAGTCCTGTCCTCATCAGGACCCCAGAACTCAAAGTAAACCTTGCCTGTGATTAGACCCCTAACTCCGACACTATTAGTCTGTATCTAAACCCCAAGGTCCAAGCTATGTTCTTTCCTACATGCGGGGGCGGGGGAGGCTCAAAGGGAGCCCAGTGGAATTAGAACCCAATACCTGCAGCTCTCTTGACTCAGGACCCCCCCCCCCCATAAACCCTGGTCTAGACAAATTCCATGGGGAGGCACCCACTGGAGGTGAGAGGCTCAGCAGCCAATCCTCCCATCTAAACCCTTCCCTCACCCTGAGGACGTGGCTGTCCCTGGCCCCATTCCCTACCATGTTTAGGATATGAGAGCAGGATCAAAGCCCCTTGGGCTCCATCATCTCCCCACCCAATGGAAACCAACACAAAACCCTTCAAGAAAATGAAGAGAGAGAGAGAGAGGGAGGGAGGGAGAGGGAGGGAAGGAGAGAGAGGAGAGGAGAGGAGAGGAGAGGAGAGGAGAGAGAGAGAGAGAGAGAGAGAGAGAGAGAGAGAGAGAGAGACTGTCTAGGCTGCCTGGGGAATGTGAGCAGCCTGTAGCCCGGAGACACTGCAGAACACTGCAGGGCCTGGAGCGATGGAGACAGCTCTGAAAGCAGTCTGTCCCTACGCTCATCTCAGCCGTCTCGAGCTGCCCTTCCTGGGCTCAGTTTCCTAATCCGGAAAGCAGAGCCCCATTAGCTCCAGAGTTCTCTGTGCTGTTCCCCGGTGGTCAGGAATGACTCTGCAGTTTGCCAGTGTAGGCCAGGCCAAAACAGTTTTCTTTGCTGCTCTTAAAAAATAGGTTAAGTGTTTTCCGTGGCACATGTATTTCCTTAGAGTCATGTGAAGATGCTGTGCGATATTCTTGAAGCTTTATGGAGCACTAAGCTGTGTTTTGAGCCTCATTCTATAGCTGACAAGTTATGAAAGAGATGAGGCATAGTCGGGGAACTGAGTGACTGTCCCCCAACAAGGAATTTGAAAATTATGTATTCTCCTAACTCTGGACCCCCGCTGGTTCTTTTGTCTTCACCAGTGAGCAAGAAATTCAAGCAAGCTGAAGAGGGAATGAGAGGTGGGGTGACTTCACACTGATGTCACAGTGTTGAGACTCAGCAGTCACTTAGCAACTGTTGGAGGCCTGACCCCTGTGCTGGGCTGACTGTGGCTGGCACGGTAGAGATGGTGCCGATCTGTCGTTAAGAGACATTTGGGCCCCCGCCTGTAAATAACTGGCTGGCACATCTGCCCACCTCCAAGGTTGCAGAGGGAAGGAAGGGCAAGTGAGATCATGGCGGGAGAGTGTCTCGATGGCTATTTCGAAACAAGTCAAGCAAATTCATGGGCCAGCAGTGCCCCTGCCAATCATTTATGTATCTGTTGATAATTAGTAGCATTTGTCCGAGCTCAAGGTAGTGGCTGCCTGTCTGCGGAGGGAACATGCTGGCGATTGTATAGGAACCCTGTGAGTGAAGAAGCCCATCTCTTTCCGGACATGTACAAAGAGGTTAGAAAGTCAAGTTGTCTTAGGCTAGTGACAGGCTGGCACCCATGTTCAAGCCACAAATAAGACCCTAATTTACAGATTTGCTGACCAGAGTTTTCTGTCTTCCTCCTCCTGAGAGTCGAACCTGGCGGGAGTCTGCTTTGTCACTCACATCCTAGCCAGGCCTAGCCTCACCTTGCTCCCCTGGTGGGAGAGCCATGGAGGCTGGAGGGGCATAGAGACCCAAGGTCATTATCAAGAAACCACAACATGTACGGATTCTGCTCAATTGAGAGAGTCCCGGTATAGCTTGGTTAGATCATTGCTTATGGACAACCCAAGTCCTCTGTGGTTTCTAGGATGGTAGGTCACCAAGAAAGAAACGTGTGTATGTGTTTTAAAAGAGAAACAAAATGTCACCACATTTCAAAAAACACTCCCTACATAAGGCCCCTTCAACTACCATTTATTTATTTATTTATCTGTTTATTTTTTAGATCGGCTCTCATATATCTCAGGGTAGTCTTGAACTCCTGGTTCTCCTGTCTCCAGCTCCCAAATTCTGGGATGACAGGTGTGTGCCACTAAGCCTGGCTGGTTTATGTACGTGGGCCTAGGGGCCTAGGTCCTCTGTTCTTCACGTACTCATTTTATTCAAGATGCCAAGCTGGGTTGGGCAAGAACTCTTGACACCCAGGTCCAAATACAGTGAGTGTTGATATTTGCTTCTGATGTTACCATAGGCTTGTATGGGGACAATGTGTCCCCAGCAGGGGCAGTATCTGGGGGACACCCTTCACTGCAAGAGCTAGCCGTGGGCACAGCTGATGTGCCATGACGGAAGCCATGGAGGCTGTGGTGCGTGGGGTAGAGAGGGTTAGTTACCTAGTTGAGAGTGTCAGTTAAGCACCAGTGTGGAAAAACCCCGCCGTGGGCTGTCTGTCATCTGCAAGGCCTTTCATGCATCACTGTCATCCGTTTAGCCAGCTAATGGCAGCATTCCCTGGAGTCGGTATTGAGTTGAAAGTATATAACTTGCTAAGTACACTGTCGGACCTGTGATGTATAGCTCAAATTTAAGTAGTTCTATTTGTAGAGTTTGCCTCATAAAACGATTTCACTGACTCATGTATTTTTCCCCAACAGGACAAGCTGTAATTACAAAATTTTATAAATCATTGCTATTGTGTATGGTTTTTTTTTTTCTTTTTGGGTCCAGCTTCGATCTGAGCTGAGCCAAATTAATTTTCTAAAGAGCATTAGAGGCAGCAAATGGGCTCCTGTGCAACCATCAAGTGGGAGACTTTCCCCGCTTTGCTCAAGATTTTAAATGTATCTTTGCGTGATTCAAGGTCAGACACTATCTCAACCGATACAGTGATTTCTCTTTAAATCCTAATTTTGTTAAAAGGAAAAATTGTTTCCCGTAGGAATTTTGATGGATGATGCCACCCTGAAGTTCTACGATGTCATCCCTGGAGCAGTTATTTCATTATGTATCTGGCATTATGATGGTTGGACAGAACTGGTTTTGGCAGCTGTGGAAGGGGACCCCAATAAGGTGGTTTCATGCTTCTTTCAATATTAGGGGTTGAGGGACCCTCAGTCTTTAGCATAAGTATTTGAATAAAGACCTCAGAGTAGGGAAGAAAAGTGGCGTGTCTCCAGCCACTCTGGGCTTGAGTCCCCTGAGTTCACTTCTATACAGCTTAGAAATGTGCTTACTCCACCCACAGTGGAGCTCAAGTGGTACCTTTTCTATCTATGTGTTGGTCAAGTTGAGAATGAAATTTTAATCCTAAGAACGGGGCTGTAGCTCCATGCTCGGGGACTTGTGTGCCATGTGCAACTGAGCAGAAATGTCCTAGGAGGTTCTGTCTGATTTGGGGGACAGGGTCACCTTGGCCAGCAGCCTGTTTGCCAGATCCCCTGGTGAGCGACCCACTGTCTCTGCTAGGGAGCATGGGAAGGAAGACCAGGACAGGAATGCTCACCCGCTCTGTGAAGATGAATGGTTGGCACCGGGATAAGTGTGTGCTCTTCCATCAGAGACTTTGAGGAGTAGAGCTCTGAGATCCCAGGGAGGAGGAGGAGGCAGTTTCCTGGTGGGACGGGGTTCAAGGGAAGGTTGAGTGCTGGGTGCATCTGGGGAAAGGAGGGTGGTGGTGGTGGTCTCCGTATCACAGACCCCAGGCCTGAGACACAGGAGGGAGGTCTATCCAACCCCACCCGTAGCATGTTTTCCAGGCATTCCTCTACCTCCCCAATTTCTCCTTTCCCAGTTTCCCCTCTTTCCTGGAAATTTAGCCACTGCCTCAGCCTATTTCCTCCTGCCTGAGGAGGTAATTGTTGCCCTCTGCTCCCTGTGCACCTGACCCCACTGCCCCTCCTCATACCACCCACTCCCTGACCCTGGACCTCTGAAGCACAGTCCTCACTGTGGTAACCCATGGCCCTCTTCCCATCCTCAAGATGGTTCTATGGCAGGTTAGCTACCTGCCAGTAGAGTTCAGAAAGTTTCAAGAAGTTGACAATGGACACAAAAATAGATTGGAAATGAATGCAGACTCCATCGCAACTCCAAGAGGACTTCCCTCTTCTTGGACTCCTTCTGGGGTTCCATGTTGTGTTATTTCCGACGGGCCACAAACATCTCCCTCTGAACATTAGCAAAGTTATTTTCTCCCTTCAAAACACTTGACAGGAAGGCCATCCTGTGTCCCCTGCCTGACCAGGGGTGACTGCCCTTCCTGAGGGCATGCAGGTCACCGAACAGTGTCCCCTGCCAGCATCCCCCTCCTCCCACTGTGCTCCCTGGTTTGGACCAAGTAGGACCTCATGCGCCCTGGGGTGTGGGTCACGCTTTGGAGACAACCCTGACCTATTTCTTTCATCCAGCTGTCGTGTCTTGGCATCAGCGAGGACACCTTCTACCGAACGGCGAACTCACAGCACTTTAAGGGTGAGCAGTGGAGGCAGTGGACCGCCCAGAGGGCGTTTGTGGCCTTGTACATCTCCGCACACAGAGGCCATGTGGAGGCCATGCAGTATCTCCTACAACTTGGTAATTCTGCAGAAAGCACGACCTGGTCTGGTTGGGAGGACACAGTGATCTTATTTCTTCATCAGTGGCTCCCTAGACCCCAGTCCTCACCCACCAAACGTGTCTCCCGCGGGGCTCCTTAGGACCTGCCCACCAGAAGTTTGCACATCTCTGGGCTGGGTCTCTAGAACATTCTATTATGGCAGGACCAAAATTATAGGACAATGAGACACAGGGTGTCCAGGACTTCCTCACTTGTCCTTTCCGAGTAGCCCACAGTCTGTCTTCATCCTGGCCCCACCTGATGTAAATTCTGCAGTGGTCCCAAAGGACTTCACTTTGGGTATCACAAGGAGTGACCAACAGGCTGACTGGAGGTTCCTCTCAAATAGATCCTCAGAAAGATGCTCACCACTCCTCCTTTTCTTCCTGTCTCCCTTTGAGGGTGACCATCTGTCCATCTGTCGCTCTGTTCATAGCCGTAGTCAGCACTGTGTCTGGACAGATGTCAGGGGATCTTTTGTTTTCCCTGGTTGGGAGAATGGCACCCCTGATGGAAAGACAAACTACTAAAGACAGTACCGCTGGTTCAGACCACCCAGAGCTCTGACTTCCTTGGGAAAAGGGAGGACTAGCAAGCACCTCTGGCCTTTTAAGCTGCCGCCTCCAGCCCCTTCGTTTTCATCTGCAGTCTTGCTCAGTCCTGGCTATCCCCCACTTCTACCAGGAAGGGTGGGGGTGGGAGACACCTCTGCTTTCCAGGTCAGAAGGCTGGCAGGTCACATCTCTGCTGCAGAGCTCAGGGATGGCTGGGTGACGACACCATGTTCTCTGCCATTCCACACTGCCTTTCTGCACTTCTCGTATACAATGAAAGATGGGCTTTCACAGCCCAGCAGTCCTTTAAGCCCATAAAAAGTCATCTTCGCTCTGATAGAGCCGTGATGTATTTGAAGGCACCCGTTAAAAAATGACGGCCAGCTTTGCAAAGTTTTCCATCCTCTGCAGCCATCACAGAGGGAGGTACAGAGTCATGCCCGCATTCCGGAAGCCTACTTAAGCTTCGCCTCACCAGCCAGCCAGCCATAGCTCAATAGGACTGTGGCAGCAGCCGCGATGCCGGCTGGGTTGAATTAAATTGCCTTGTTTTCTGTGTCATGATTTTTGTTACCGCAAATTTGATACAACCCCGTGAGTCCATGCTGGACCCTTGTCATTAGCCCGTCTGTCTGCAGGAGGCAGTGAGAATCCAGATCTCTCCATGCAGAGGCTGTTATCCCTGTCACCTCCTCAGAACCACTAGCTGTGTGCTGGGGACAAAAAAACCAGCATGGATCTTAGTTGGGAAAGCCAATCAGTGATTACAAATGATTAATTCCATAGCTAGCCACATATGGGATGCATTAAACATTGTGCATACTGAGCTTGTATAGGTTGGGGTAAAGGTTGTAGGGAGGAAGAGCTAAGGAAATTACTGAAATCCTAAGAAGGAAAAAAGAAAGCAAAAGCGTAGTCTGTAACAGGAATAGTATGTGCAAAGAGCCTGGGGCAGGTGCAGAATGATGTATTTATGGGTAAAGACAGGAAGTACATGGGCCTGGAGCCTTGGGGGCAAAGGGAATCAGTAGGAAGCACAAGACGGGGTGGAGGTAGCGTTGGAATAACTAAGCAGTGTAGTGAGACAGGCAAAGACGTCAAAGAGTGCTCCCCAGACAGCAAGATTCAGTGATAGACTTGGAACAGGAGACTGGAATGGGTGCCCCGTGGGACCAGGTTGGATGGGAGGGACGATGAGATGAGGACTGCCGCCATGTCCCTGGGAGCAGTGTCAGCTCTCCCTTGGTCCCCACCATAGCTCCCGGCCCCTCCTTGTGGTACCCTCAGGGTCAGATGGTGGAACTCCCGCCTGGGAGAGCAGACTACCCCAACGGGTCTTTTTATCTCACAGGAGCGAACTGCCTGGGCAGATCACCCCTGGGCAGGACGCCCCTGCATGTGGTTGCAGCCATGGGCAGGATGGACTGCATCAGGCCCTTACTGGAACGTGGTGCCTCCATTCACGACAGAGACGCCAAGGGGGAAACACCCATCACCATTGCCCGCCGCCTGAATCGCAGAAACTTCGAACGCAAGATGTTCCTCCTCTACTGGGTGATCAAGTCTGGGACCAAGGACCCCGCCAACTTGGTCATAAGGGAGGCTCCGGAGAAAGCCAGCTCTGGGGCTGTGTTAAAGAGCTCAATGTAGCTCTCCCGAGTGCCTTTGCCCCTCACCCTGCTCCGAGGCAACCTTGCAGCTCCCACAGTGGCCCCCATGGCACTCATTAGGCAACAAAAGAAGGAACAGATCTAAATCAGACACCAAATTGGTTGTCCTCTTACCAATGTCTCTGGGAGGGTGTAATGGAGCAGGTGAGCTTGTCTCTTTTGTAATCCATTTTGTCCCCACCAGGCCCGACAATGCCAGCCTTTAATTTTCAGCTCTTTGTACATGGCACCAATCACACTGGTTGGGGTGATGGTAGCCAATTATCTCTCCCTTTGGAGGCCATCTAATGCACCCGCATAATAGGAGCAATAGCAGCAATGATAATAGCACCCCTGTTATCGTGCAGAACGAGCAGCGGCCTGCGTCAGAAGGTCGTGCACAGCGTAGGTTGTGAATCTGTCAAGCCTATGCGGCTAATCATTTCTGTGGCCAGGACTGACACGATTTTGGTCAAGCTAGCTCGGAGGGGTCTGCTTCTTGAGTATGGGGCATGAGTGAAGCTGGGAGCAGGTCCCGCGAGCCTCCAAACATAGTCTGTCAAGGGGCTGGCTGCTTTCTTATCCTTGTGGCAAGGGCTCATGTGGCCTTAGGGGTGAAGGAAACAGCAGAGGAGACAAACAGGAACAGGAGAGAGAGAGAGAGAGAGAGAGAGAGAGAGAGAGA